CATTAATTTTTGTGACAGTAATAAAGCAACTGCACTTTAATCATGTGTTGTTTCAAAATGATTCATAATGGATCAGTTCTACTGGAATGAGAGGAACACACTGGTATAGAAAGAAGACAAAGCCCCCCCCCCCGGTTATCGTAGCCAGGCCGGGGGTGATCGGGTCTCTGCTCATGAGGCCCGGTCAGGCTCTCCCCGAACAAAAAAAAAAATAGGTTTGCCTTCCTGTGTTCCTGTAGGAGGGCCCATACGGATCCGGTGTACGGTCCCATTGGCAGTAAAGGCGGGGGCCTTGGCGCTCTGACCCTGGCTCACCAAAGCTGCTCTTGGGACAGGGAATGTGACCTCTCTGGTGGGGAAGGAACCTGAACTTGTGCGTGAGGTTGAGAGGTATCGACTAGATATAGTTGGGCTCACCTCGACGCACAGCATGGACTCTGGAACCGATCTCCTTGAGATGGGCTGGACCATATTCCACTCTGGAGTTGCCCATGGTAAGAGGCGCCCAGCTGGTGTGGGTCTATTAGCCCCCCCAACTTGGTGCCTGCATGATGAAGTTTTCCCCGGTAGAGGAGTGTGTGGTTTCCCTGCGCCTTCAAGTGGGGGAACAGGCTCTGACAGTGGTTTGTACCTACACACCTAACAGCAGTTCAGAGTATCTGGCCTTCTTGGAGTCCTTGGTGGGGGTGCTGGAAGGTGCACCAGCTGGGGACTCCTTTATTCTGCTGGGGGGCTTCAAAGCCCACATGGGTAATGACAGTGTGACCTGGAGGGGCGTGATGGGAGGAACGGCCTCTCTGATCTGAACTCAAGCAGTGTTCTGTTGTTGGACTTTTGCGCTAGTCAAAGTTTGTCCATTACAAACACCATGTTTGAACATAAGGGTGTCCATAGGTGCACGTGGCACCAGGACACACATCGATTATAGTTTGTGGTCATGTCATCTGATCTGTGGCTGTATGTTTTAAACAGAGGAGCTGAAATCACTCATTAACTACAGGTTGAACTAAAATTCATCTGAAATCTGTTTTTAATTAAAACTCTGAACACATTTACCATACCACTTTATTTATAGAGCACTTAAAACAGCTACAAGACCAACCAAAGTGCTGTACAGACAGAACAACAGGTAACACACAAAGCAAAATACAAAATGAAGTAAATCAGAATATAGACATAAAAACGATGCAGATAATGACGACAAACCAGTGTGGAGCATACAGGATCAAAACACAGATCATCTGGTGTTGAAAGCTACTGAATAGTAGTGAGTTTTTAAAAACGGGACTTGAAAACAGAGAGGGAGGGGCCTGTCTGACAAGCAGAGGCAACTCGTTCCAAAGTCTTGGTCCTGCTACAGTGAAGGCCCTGTCACCTCTGCACTTAAGAAGAGTTCCTGGAACTGTGAGGAGCAACTGGTCCGCTGACCTCAGGGAACGTGGTGGGACATACAGTTGTAGCAAATCAGAGATGGGGGGGGGCGACACTGTTCAGTGATTTGTAGACATACAGGAGTATTTTGAACTGGATTCGAAGGTGAACTGGTAACCAGTGCAGTGAGGCCAGAACTGGTGTAATGTGCTCTCTTTTGCCTGTACTGGTTAAAAAATCATTTATGCTTCAAGAAGATCCAAGTTCATTTAAACCGTGTAAACCTGAGCTGGATTAACAGCTTTTTCCCTCCACGATGACAGACCCTGCAGCTCCTACCTGTTGTGTGCAGGTGTGTGTGAGGTTTCCAGCTGATGTCCAGCAGTCTGCGCTGACGATCGATCTCTTCCTCGTACCGGACGATGGTTTTTTCAAACTCTGTGAATATTTCTTCAGCAGCAGCAGTTAGTCGCTCGCTGATAAACTCTCTCAGAGACTGAACTGAAGACATTGTTGCTGCACACACTCAACACATTCACCTCTCACACACACATGAACAGCCACAAACACAGAGCTAACTATGCTAACGCTGCTAGCGCCTTGTTGACTTCCGCTAACGTCAAAAAGACGTTATGACAAAAACTGAGTTAATCTTAGTTCATCTATCAAGATCGTCTACTAAGTGATACAAATAAAAAGAAATCATAAATTAATCGGGTTACGTTAACCAAAAACGGATTATGCTAACACAACTTCAACTATTCAAGCTAGCCATGCTAACGAAGCCAACGCTTTGTTTACTTCCGGTGGTGTCTCGTTGTAACGCTCCGGCAGAAATGGAGTAACGGAGTTTGTCATAATATTTTTTCACGATTAATCACATTTATTACCGAATAAAATACAATTTATTTGTGAACCATTCCATTGTAGATGTGTCTTTATATTTTGGATCATTGTCTTGTTGGAAGATAAATCTCTGTCCCAGTCTCAGGTCTCTTGCAGACTCAAACAGGTTTCCTTCCAGAATGGTCCCGTGTTTGGCCCCATCCATCTTCCCATCAATTCTGACCATCTTCCCTGTTGATGAAAAGCAGGCCCAAACCATGATGCTGCCACCATGTTTGACAGTGGGGATGGTGTGATGAGCTGTGTTGCTTTTACTCCAAACATATCGTTTTGCATTGTGTCCAAACAGTTGGATTTTGGTTTCATGTGACCAGAGCACCTTCTTCCACATGTTTAGTGTCTCCCAGGTGACAAACTTTAAACAACACTTTTTATGGATATCTTTGATAAATGGCTTTCTTCTTGCCACTCTTCCATAAAGGCCAGATTTGTGCAGTGCACGACTGATTGTTGTCCTATGGACAGACTCTCCCACCTCAGCTGTAGATCTCTGCAGTTCATCCAGAGTGATCATGGGCCTCTTGGCTGCATCTCTGACCAGTCTTCTCCTTGTTCCAGATGAAAGTTTAGAGGGACGGCCAGGTCTTGGTAGATTTGCAGTGGTCTGATACTCCTTCCATTTCAATAGGATTGCTTGCACAGTGCTCCTTGGGATGTTTAAAGCTTGGGAAATATTTTTGTATCCAAATCCGACTTTAAACTTCTCCACAACAGTATCTCGGACCTGCCTGGTATGTTCCGTGGTCTTCATGATGCTCTCTGCTCTTTGAACAGAACCCTGAGACTATCACAGAGCAGGTGCATTTATACAGAGACTTGATTACACACAGGTGGATTCTGTTAATCATCATCAGTCATTTGGGACAACATTGGATCATTCATAGATCCTCACTGAACTTCTGGACTGAGTTTGCTGCTCTGAAAGTAAAGGGGCCCAATAATACTGCACGCCACACTTTTCAGTTTTTTATTTGTTAAAAAAGTTTGATACATCCAATAAATTTAATTCCACTTCACGATTGTGTCCCACTTGTTGTTGATTCTTCACAAAAAATAAATTTTATATCTTTATGTTTGAAGCCTGAAATGTGGCAAAAGGTTGAAAAGTTCAAGGACGAATACTTTCACAAGGCACTGTATGTGAATGTTTCTGTAAAGTACCCTGAGACAACATTGTTGTGATTTGGCGCTATATAAATAAACTGACTTGAATTATTCTCATCACTTTGGTTCGGCTATACTTCACACACACAAAGCGTGCGGAGTCGGGCTCTGAGTCAGTTTCAAAACTCCTAAAAACTGGGATCGCACCAGGAGCCTGTGAAGCTGCCTCTCCCGAGAGCGTGGCCCTCTTGACTTCTTGACATTTACGGAGCTCGACTCGCGCCTCCGAAGACAGCACAGCAGTGGCGATTGGGCCTGCTGTGAGAACCGGACCCCACCAAGGAAACCAGGCAGGGCTCGACAGGATCGATGCAGCACCAGGACAGGCGGTTCATCAGGTGATGATTGGCTGAAGATGACGGAGCAGACTGCAAGGCGGGCTTTGATCCTCACAAGGTGGACGGGACGTTTCCCCGGCACCTGGAGCGATGTCTTCGAGTGGGCAGGAGAGTTGCAAGTCAGAAGTAAACAGGTACGTCATCCAGCGGGGGCAGGTCCAGAGCTCCAATTATTGTGGTAAAAAAAGGTGAGGTTGGTGTCAGATAATTGCAGATTTATAAGTTGTTGATGTTCTCAAACGAGTAACGAGTTGATGTCGCCGATGAAGAATGAGAAAAACAGAAAAAACAATCACTGCAGAGGTGGACGGCAGGCCACGTACACCGACGCCATAAACTTCTCCTAAAGTCTTCATGTATTGTCACACTTTAGATATTAACCTTTATTTAACGAGGCAAACCCCAGAGAGAGATCCCAGATCTCTTTCCTCCTGGGCGTGAAAGCAGCCTAACAGGCAGGTTTTTGTACTGTGGGGGGAAACCCCTTAAACTCCACACAGAAAGACCCCAGGCCCAAACCAGGGATTGAACGGTGGATCCTCTTGCTGTGTGGTAACAGTGCTAACCACTGAGCCAAATAATACATGAAGTCCGTCCATCCGTTACCTTTTACTCGCTTATTCCATTTTGTGTCACGGGGGTCGCCAGTGTCCATGTCCAGCAGTCACAGTGTGAGAGGCGGGGGACACCCTGGACATGTCTCCAGTCCATCACAGGGACACATAGAGACAAACAAGACAAACAACCATTCACTCTCACTCACACCTAGGGACAATTTAGAGTTACCAGTCAGCCTAACATGCATGTTCTTGGTCTGTGGGAGGCAGTGGTAGAGAAAGTACTCAAACACTGTACTTAGTAAAAGTACAAATAAACAGACAAAAATGTACTCTAGTAAAAGTAGAAGTACCACATTAACATTTTTACTTAAGTAAAAGTAAACAAGTATTTGCTTTTAAAATACTCAAAGCATTAAAAGTAAAAGTACTTGCTGAATGTATTACATAATGCAATGGTCTACATATC